TAAAACGCCGTCTCTGCCAATGGATATGGCACACAGAGAGCAACTCCCGGACGATGGCGGGCAGCACGCGGCGCATAGAGAAGTGCGGCACAACGAACAAGTTTGGAAGCATGGAGGTGTCCCGGGGATGCTGGTCTTGACATTTATGTTGCACCGAGGGCAGACCCTCTCCTCAGCGGAAGATCGGCGAATATCGGGAGCTCCAATACCGCCGACGCCACCGACGCCATGCACACCCTTACCGAGTCCTGGTGGAAGAGAAAAACCAGTTGGCCCGCCAGAGTTATCCTGTGCTCCGTGGTGAGGCTGTGGATTCTGCTGATTTGTCACAGCAGCGTCAGGTCCGTATCTCCCGCGAATGACTCCCTGAGACGTTCCATGCTCAACCTGACCGGTGAAAATCCCCCCTGTAGGGGAACATCCGGGGTACGTGTTGATGGTCCCCCTCGGAACTGCTCGTCCGACTACGGGCGAAGACATTGCCCTTGGTGGCATTGGCCCGGCAGCTCCGGCGTGGGAACAGAAACCAGAATTCCCTTGGTGCGGTTCAGGACTCCGATGTGACGGATCTCCACGTGATGGCCCGGATCCAGGATCAGGAGCAGTGCCATCCCGCTGATTATGATCAGGAATGCAATCAGGTCCTCCAGGCCCCGCACTGGGGCCGCGATGCTTAGTTTTCCCGTCGGGATCAGCTCTCAGACAACCGAGGCAAATAGGTCGAACACTCGACCCAAAACGACGTACATCGTCAGGCGAAGCGATGTGTTGATCGCAGTACTCGTCCTTGCATATGAGACACCTCACAAGTCCGTGTCTCCCCCCTCTTCCTCTGCATGCGCGGCATCTAGGAAACTGATCGCTGCACTTGAAACATGAGTTACAGTCATGGTCAAAGCAGTCTTCGCAGACTGACTTGCCGCAGCTTCGGCATGGATAGCGAGGTTCCCGATGCTGTGGATGCCCGGGCTCCTCATGAGCACACCTGGCCCGGTTATCAGGGGCAGCGCCGGCAGCCCGAGCAATGGCCCTCGTTCTAGAGGGATCCCTGCCGAAGATGGGGGCTGATGGTGATGGTGGGGGTGGCCCCGAAGGAGGTGGAGGTGGAGGAGGCCTCGCCGAGCTGACGGTGCGAGCATCACGAGGAGGAGAACCTCTAGGAGCCCTTCCCTGGGTTAAGGGATCAGTGTCTCCAGATTTCTCCCATGATCCCGTTCCGGCGGTCGAACCAGCGCCAGCACTTGAGGATCCGCAGGCAGCAAGAGGTTGCTCCCTCAATTCAGCGATCTGCATGTTGATCTCATTGACCCTCAGCACAAGCTTCATAAACTGCTCTTGCATGTCCCTCGGATTGGGGCCTAAGCTTTTGTCATGAAGGTCCTTGACGCATCTAGCAATGCGGGACAATTGAAGCTTGAATTCTTCCTGTTTCTGTGAGTTCTCATTGAGGGCTCCGGATACCTTATCACTGAACTGCTTCAGGTCGGTCGCAGGAACGAGATGCTGGATATACGTCTCGACGTTCCCACGGATGGTTCTTTCTCTTGAGATGGTTCCCTCAATGTCGATGACACTGCGAGAGTTCGCCTCAACTTCGTCTTTGATTTTCCGAACCTCAGCCTCAAGGGCCCCGATCTCAGAAAACCTAAGAAGCTGGACCTTGACGTTCTCAAGTGATTCGGCCTGCTCGCGAAGTTCAGCAGCGGATATGACGATCGAGTCAGATCTCTCATCATACATCTTGAAACGCTCATTCATCTCCTTCTCGCTTCGGGCGACCCACTCGTGGAAATCACGGAACTTAGCCTCGTGTTTTGAGAGAGTTCCGGCAACGGCAGAGAAAGATGATTCAACCTTCTTCTCGAAGGCGTCAACACGGTTATTGATCTTCTTGATCTCACCGACGCAAGCGTTGATATCATCCCTACATGAACGAATCTCAGCTCTGCATCCCTGGATTTCGGCCTTGCACCCCTTGACCTCGTTGTGGATCGCGAGAAGCAGTCGTTGAAGCTCAGATGCAACAGGATGGCCGCCACTTGTGGAAGCAGACGGAGCAGGACGACTATCAGCGTCATGATCTCCGCGACTATTCTCTTCCCTGTCGGGAGTGCAGCCCGGAGTTCCGATTTGAAAGAATGCGGGGACAACGGAGTCGTTGACCGGTTGATTCGAAGGAAGCCCTCCATATCCAGGGGCAACAGTGCTAAGTCCAGGTCTCCGGTTCCTAGGCGTAGAGTTAATCCCGTCATCAGTCTCCTTCTCAGACATCGGGGCATTGGAGCTGAGCCCAGACCCCGCAGAGTGTATAGGAACGTCAATAGGATCGTGATGAGCTGGGGGATTAGATCGCAGTCGTAGAGCAGCTTCACGTCTCTCGGGTGACTCAGAGCTCCTCTTTGTGGCTCGTGAGTCAGTGCCGGTTTGTCCCGACACATTATCAAATGATGATGATCCGCGAAGTTGAGCTTGATCTGGATTAGGTTGAGTGAGATCAAGCCGTTGAGCAACGTCACCATTGAGTGGCTTAGGGGAAAGTACTTTGGCAACGCGGCTCGGCGGGAGCGATGTAGTTCGTCTCTCTGGTGTGACCTCGGCCTCATCGATTACATCAAGGATCCCAGGAATGGTTTCATCATCTTCATTTCCTCTCCTGGGTGGCTGATGGAAGGGGATGTCGAGGAGGTCAAATGGAGTAGAGCCAATACCAGGTGTATCCTGCTCGGATCCATCGCTGGTACGGTGGCTGGACTGCTCCTCGAGGTCGATGACGTCGGGGGCGGACTCTTTTCGAGTCTGACGCCGATTGAACGCCGCGAAGAGACCGGCATGGCTTCTTGATGAAGAGGAGGAAGGATTTGGGCCTGCTGTTTCGCGGCCCGCATCCGATCGACTAGTACCTGATGTCCGATTTGGCGGATTTGAGCCCGCGTTGTAGCGGTTCGCATCCCGACCTCGGGCACCTGAGGAAAGCGGTGGATTCGGACCAGCGTTGTAGCGGTCCGCATTCCGGTCACGGGTACCTGACAGGTGAGATGATACTGCATCATAGGCAGGGCATCAAAAGATCTGTCAATTCGGGAAGGCTGAGACCTCCAATCAGCATCAAAAAGGGATTGAAAATCCAGATTCCCAACCGAAACGGGGGCACCCGAGTTAAAGTCGAGCCGACCGAAATCAGGCGGTGTAGCCTGCGATCCACTGCCGAGGAGTTGGTCAAACTGATCCCATGTAAGGGACCATGATTGAGCCGGCTCCGGATGAGCAGCATGATGGACAGCCCGGTCCTCGATCTGGAGCGCCACGAACGGAACAGTAGGCGAAATCGATGAGGGCACCTGATTTGGAGGAACCTCAGCCTCTTCTAGAGGGGGTCCGTCCACGATCTGGAGCACTGCCGCCGGGATAGGGGCCTCCGCATCCTCATCAAACACAACCTGAGAAAGGATCCAATCGTCCGTGATCACCCCGGGATTGGGTTCTGCGCCCAGCATCGGGGGAATGGGCCACAGCCGGCTGTCTAAGCCGGGGGCAGCAGGCGCGGCGTTGCCGCGAAGGGCGTTGGCCTCGTCGTCCACGAAGCCCGGCCCGCGATGAGAAGCTCCGGGGGACGCCATTGCTCGTACAAGTAGGCGATGGGAGCAGGTAGCGGGTCACGTCCCGCAACCGGATCACCAGCCCCAGCTTCTAGCTGGTACGGCTGATAACCTGCGGTTTTGGGCGAACACGAAGTAGCCCAGGGAATCAAAGAGGTACACGTGATCCACGAAATACCAAAAGAACCCAGTCCCAACGCACAATGGTGAAGTTGCTGATGACCAGGTTGAGGGAGTGACAGTTGAAGAAGATCAAGTTTGGGAGGGTTGGAAAACAGGTTACAACAGAAAGTGAAGTTCAGAACCAGGCCCAGGAAGTCCTCGACGACCAGCCACCCACCACCTAACACCGGCCGCGGCAGCACCAGGACCTTTTCCCGGTGATGACGCAAGCCGCCGTGCTATGGCGGATGCACGCAGATCCGAGGGACCCCTGACGGGAGGTTTAAACTTGAGCCAAACGGCCATTCGGCCGTTTTGCCACATGATGAAACAACACGTGAACAAAACACAAAAGGGAAGACATAGCGAAACAACGGCCAAACAGAACACGAATAACAATGCAACTAGGTCCTCCAGTAGAGAGGCTAGAAGAAGGGTACCCTTTTTTCTGTATGGGAACCCTCCCCAACAAAAGGGTAGAAGGGCACTACTGGGGGACCTAGGCCACAATTGTAACTGGTGCAAACGCCACAAAAGCTGTAGCAACCACAAGGTGGGCAGTGACAACTGCGTCCCAAGTCTTTTAACACTTTTAAAGATTACACGGAGAAACGAACAGAGTCATGCAAACAATCCTTCCGTTCAATCACATCGACCCGACATCGGGCAGCACATGCAGTCTTTTTTCCTCTTTGGCCACGGGTGGGAAGGCCTGGTGCACCCTCAAAACCATTAGATTTGACTCCAACCCCCCGAAAATATATAGACCTGTAGCACCACAGCGGTGCTAATAGATACATTTTAGGAATGGAAAGGGATGTTTCAGCTATGACCCTGCCTCTAGTGTACACATGTCAGACCTTTCTAATGCGCTTGCCCGTGGTTGCAAACCACGTCGCTCGAGCTGCCGAACCGGTCTGGCCCCTTTTCGTGTCGAGTTGGGTGTGGGTCAAAACTAGGTACCCAAATGGCTTGCCCTGGTAAATGGAAAAGTGGACTAAAACCTGCGGTCCCCTGGTCCAGGCTGGAATTGGGACCCCAGCAAAAAATGTGTTTTCCCTGGGTCCTGGAGAAAAAAAGCAAACACAAGGGGGAGCTAATTCTGGAAAAGTGGTGGTGACTAATTTTGACCCTCGGCCCCTTTGCGCCTCTCCCCCTTGGGCTGCCGATTGAACTGCCGATGGGAGGCACTCGATCAACCCACGTTACACACCCCAAGCGCCCGGAGTCCGAGCGCGCGGCCAATCGATGGTGCAGCAGTTCACCAGGGAGGGGAAGCTTCCTGAGGGAGCAGTGTTTGTCCCTTCTTAAACAAACAAACACGTTTGTTTTTTACATATATCTTTTTATCCATGGGTCCAGAAGGTTCACCTTGAATATCTGCCCTGACTGCTCGGAACTCAAGCCCTCCGTGTTGAGCATCAAAGGGCAAGGATACAAAGGCAAAAAAAAGCGTTCAGGCAACAAACACATCCTGTTGGATCCATTTACTGGAAAAACAGTACAGGGTTGAAACTAAGGCACGCCGATTGTGGCCATTGGCGGCATCTTCCACCGCTTGCAAGGTCGTTTCATGCAGGTTCGTTGGAGATGGCAAAATGGCTCCTGGAACCTTCCTCCGGATTGAGTCCTATGGGACTGCTTTTCTCGCTCTCTCCTCACTTCCGTAGATTGACCAGAAAATATCTGAACTTGTTGTTTGCCACTATAGTGATCTTCCCAAGTTTTAGTCCAGGAGCTGAGGAAGTGAGTCTCTTGAGCCAAAACCCATGAGCTAACTTTATGCATCGGCAGGTGCAGGGACCAGCAACCTGCGTCCATGACTGGGCTTGGTGCCAAGAATTGGCTTGTTTCCTGTATTTTTTGGAGTTGGTACCCTTTTGGGAGGGTATATAGGGAATCCACTGGGCAACTACCTACTGTTAGGGAGTCTCATTTCAGCACATACTCAGTTTGACTAGAGGGAAAGAAAACATCCAGGAGGTGGATGAAAGTGTCCTACACCGTCCTACTCAAGTGGCTATCCAAACTGATGGCTGCAACTGTGACCTGGCTGAGGAGATCTAGGATTGATTGTGGCAAGCGCAGGCCCAACCAACGTATAAGCAGGATGTCGTGCTCTATGAAAGTTGGGCCCTGTCATTTAAAACTCACCCCATGGTTTGCACGTAGCTGAGTACACTCCAAATTAAGCACTCCAAATGGGCTGTTCAACATGAAGGGGTGGGCAATCCTAATTAATCCCTAACCCAACAAATGGCCAATCCTAAAACTAATCCCTAACCCGAGGACTGTAGGAAAATAACTGTAAAGGCACCAAGTCCCTGCGCAACCCACGGATTGTCTGAGAACATGCCCCGACGTCTTTTGCCCGCATCGCGGCCAGGGAGCGCAGGCGGTTCCGGAAGCTGTCGCCCACGGGGGAGAAGGCCAAAGTGACATGGACATTCTTCTTGACGCGGCCTCGGCGTTTTTTGTTTTTTTTTTTGGGGGGTGCGTCGAAGCACGAGGCATTCACCGCACTGGATTGCTTGCAGACTCATGATATTTCCCTTTAAACCAACCCCGAAAAGGGCCAGTCCTGTCAGGATGCCAGGTAGAGGTACAGCTGAAAAGAGGAGAGGGTGCGCTTAAAATCGAGTGGGCGGGAGTTGCGAATCGGCGAACCGGTTACGACAGCTGATGCTGACCGTTGTTCTTGTCCTTGCCATTTGAGCATGTGGCACCCTCGAACATGGCAGCTTTCCATTTTAGTGGTTTTCCTTTGAACCAACCTGTAAACAGGTCCCGTAACACACAGACACGGACACAAACACGGGACACAAACACGGGACACAAACACGGACACAGACACACACGGACTCACACGGACACACATGCACGCACACACGTTTACTGGGTGTTTCTCAGAATAGCTGTACCCTGCTGGTTTCCTCGTGGCCTCCCTTCAAAGACCAGCTTTCTGGAGCACCCATACAGCTGCTATTTGGGGCCCCGTTTTGTCTCGAAGCTTTCTCAAATGAACCCATTGTTGGTACGGAAAGGAGGGCCAAGAGGTGGGCCCATCTTTCATTTGAGTTGCTAGCGCTTGCTTGGCGGCTTGAAAGGCAAGCCCAAAGGAAACCATCCATTCTCGGCTGCTTTCTGCTCCCCCGCTAAAAGTTTAACTTTTAGTGGTTTAATGGAAAAACCATGAGTTTGCAAAAAGTTAAAGTCCTGACATCCCTTGGCAAGATGCACCAAAGCCTTTTTGGGGCGGTTTTTAACCAGGCGCCAAGCCAACAGGAACCCATGGCCTTGGCCATGCGTCTCTGCCTGGGGCTGCTGCTCAGGTAGGCGCTGAAGAGATTCGCCTTGGTGGGCTGCATGCCCATGGACCTCGGCGAGAGCGGGGGTGGAGTTCCGGTCACTTGACGTGAGGCTGGCAACCTAACTGGGCAGTCCATTTTCAGATCCCCCGCTAAAAGTGGCTAAGCACTAAGCTCTAGTGGGTTTAAGTGGAAATCCAACCACTTAACACTAAAAGGCTAAAAAGCTAAGGGACCGGATGGCTGGGAACCATCATCGCCATTTTAGAACAGCCGGTGAGAAGACAAGAGTCACTTGATCGCCCGTTTTCGAATCACTCCGATTGAGGAGCTTTTGGGGTTTCTTCACCATGTCGACCCTCCCGGAAATGGCCCCGAAATCGATCTGACATCGGTCCCACACATGCAGTTCAGGCGACATGGGAGTTTCGTGTTGCCAAAGATCAGGCAGCTCCGCAAGGTCTGCTGGAAAAGGTGGCATAAGGGGCATCCCAACAACAGCACCTGGCATCGCATGATTAGCACCCCGCACATATTCAAGCACCAAGGCAGAAACCACGTCACAACAGGCTGCAAGCAAAGGGTGGTGCCATGCCTCCCGAAAGTCGTCCTGTCAAGGACTGAAGCCCCTAAAGCGATGGGTTAAAGGAAAACGACCCCAGTTTGGGAAGCTTTGATATTCCCAAAACAGACAAAATAAGGACCCCAGCGGGAGACACTGCGTTTGTTTTACCGCTTGGAAGCAATACATCACGTGAAGCGCCTCAAGAAACGTGGATCATTTCTCCAAGACCCTCGATCGACGCCGTCGGCCTCTTGAGACCTGTTCCCCTGACAAACTTTCTTGCGTATGTCACAGGTTGAACTGAAGGGAACCACCTCCCCATGAACAAAGGGCACCAGTGCGTTCCAGCAACCTGCCAACAGACCTTCTTCTGAACACACCCGCATTGCTCCAAGATGGGCGGTCACTTCACAGGTGCTCAAGACATCTCAAGACTAGCTCAGTTTTTTGCCAACCAGTTCTGTGCTACTCAGATCCTGGCTCATCCCTAGTGCACCTTACACTTACTTAAGAGAGGTCCCCAAAGAATGACATATTTTAGGTGCACCAACCAGCACTCGCTGCATGACACCATTTGAACCCCCAGCACTCGGCAAAACGCGAACCCCCCCCCCCTTGCGAATTTCCAGGCGGGTGTTTCCTCTTGCAGTTGAAGGATTCCCTCGAAACTTCACCCCACTAACATCCCAACCAGGGACGTATATTATCTTATAATCGTATATGGAATTCGTTTGTTTCCGCAGGGAAACCCTGTGTGGCCCTAATTTCCAGGGTTCGCCGCTCTTTCCAATGGAGGTGGATAGGGGTGTTTCCAACCACAAGGAAGGTACTGCAGTCTCTTCCCCCCATGCAGCCTTCCGGCCTTCCGCCTCTGGAGCTCCGAAAGGCTCCCGAAGCCCAAGTTATATCCCCCCGGCTCGGCTCCCGTATTCAGCTCGTACCCGGGCCCGAGTCGCCATCCCCCCAACTCTCTAAGGGTTATTGTATTCCACCCTGGGATTACACCCTTGGGAAATGGCCCAAAATGGTCCAACCTAGCATGAGTTTATCCCGGACATACGCCTAAATGGGGTCATTTCTCCCAGGGCGTACTCCCAGGGCGCCATACCAAAGACCCTCAGAAACTCCCGCTGCAGCCCGCAGCCCGAGCCAGGCACTGGCAGAGCTGGCGGCAGCTGCTGGAGATCGCCTCAAAGTCCTCGTTGGCATAGAGGTTGGGCCTTGCGACCGCTTTTTGACGCTTTTTTGACGGCAAACGCTTCCATATCAATTTTGTTTCCACCCCGTGGAGGAAAAAAACAGAACAAACAGATCTTCAGTAGTGATAAGTTCAATTTTCCTTTAAACCAGCAAGGGAAAATAAAGCAACGTATGCTCAAGCAAATGGGAGAACCGTTGGCTGCTCAGCTGCACAGTTGGGAGCCAGAGATGACTTGTCGGTTCAATAGGCATGGAATGAGAAATGGAAATCATTCCCTACTGGGCACCAGCAAAATGAAATATCTTTTGGGACCTTGACTACAAACAGGCCCAAGGGATGACAACACGGCATTGGACAACGAAATTCACTGGTTGTCTGGACGTCAGCTGCTGAAAATGGCGAACTGCCCAGATTCATATACATGTACATATACCTCTACACACATAAATGACACTATATACATAAATATATCTACATACACACATCACAAGACTCGCTCTAATCAATCATCAACTCCAAATCAGTCATCACCCTGAAAGCATTCCGGCACGTCTCGCTCAGAGCTCGCTGCACGTCTCCACTGTTCAGCACGTTGTTGATGGCCTCGAGGCTGAGGCTTGAGGCCCCGGGGGGCTGCGACGGCTTGATTACAAGGTGTTCAAAACTAGGCTGGAAAAATCGGACCCCAGCAAAAAATGTCTTTTTTGCCTGGTGAGTGGAAAACAAAGGGACCACCAAAAAAGATCAAAAAAGGAAAAAGGGGAGCTAATTCTGGGGAAGAAAAGACGCTGGTCAAATTCAGCGAGGACGAATGCATCCCGTGACAAGCACCAAAATATGAGAACTTTTGGGAATTAAACATCTTCGCACACCACAAACCGACAAAAACCGATACCCCACCAAGCTGCAAAACAGCAAAAACCCGTATACCCAGGTAATATAGTCCATTGCCCTCATCTAAGCAGAGGCAAAACAAACTGGGCCAAGAGAGATGTTCGCGGCCAAGCACTTCCCCCGCCCCCCTCATGGATGGCGAGATCGCACCAATTCGCCCAACCCCTTGCATTGGCCTGGAAAGGCATACTTCCATTCAACGCACTGAGACCCAGAACGTCATATACCTGTATTGAAGATGATGTTGCGCAATCCTCAGAGGGTGGTCGCTAACTGCCCTAAACCACTGCTTGCAGGGGGCAGTGAGTACATTGATCCTCACTACCTCGGTATAGTAAAAGCCGCAGCCCCACAAGCACCACCAACTGTCAACAAAGCCGAAGCATACCCTTCCACCATAACTATCCAACTCTTGGTATGGTAGCAACAAAAAATGCATTTTTGCAGGCCCCCCCTCCCACCAAAAATCGCCCCCACTAACAATAAAAAACACAAACAACAACCAGGACCCTTTAAACACTCCAACAACTTTGTTTTTTGCAGGGCGGCCCCCCCACCAAAAACCCACCCTCACTAAACAAAACAAAACAAACAAGGACCCTAACAACACTCCAACAACAGTGAAGAGAACACCTGAGGCTTGGAGGATCAGCCTCCTCCGACCCCGCAAGCTGTGTCCCAGCTCTGCGCGCGCTTTCGCGCACCTCGACAAAGTCCTCCTTGACGATCTGGGTGTCGCAGAAGAGGAAAATCTGCACCTGCGGTGACGTTGAAATACTAGGCCGGAATTGGGACCCCAGCAAATAATATGTTTTTTTGCCTGGTGAGTGCACAAGAAAAAGACCCCCACAAAAGTAAACAGCAAAAAGGGGAGCTAATTCTGGGGAAGGAAAGGTGGAACAGGGAACCATCATGTCCAGTGACAGGTCTTCAAAACCGGGGGAACACACGCAAAACAAATGTTCATTTCAGAGAAGAACAGGGATCCTTGCATTATACACCTGAACATTGCAACTTGTAAATGGTGGTTTCCATTTCTTTACTTTGGTGTTGAAAAAGCCACCTGTAACTCAAATGGTTGCACGCAAAACGAAATTTCTTTTAAGGAGCCCTGTGGAAAGGGAACCATTCAGCTGACAGGTTGAAGTACACCCAAGCTGCGAGGCCATTCCTTGCACAGCACCTTGATGAATCTGCCTTGGGCCCCTGGATTCAGGACGTAAGGGTTTTTGGGGAACCCCCACGGCTGGATGGGCCCTTTGTTTCGACTCCCGGCCCTCGCCTTGTCCTCCACTCCACACTTCATGAGGCACTTCTTCACCTCAGTTCGGCCGGAATCGGACCCGATTGCAACGCCGGGCAAGGATTTGCTTCAGAACCCTTGGTATGTTGTCCAGAGCCATCTCCCTTTGAGGGGCATGGCCGACAGGGCTATTTAGCACCCAGCCTCTAAAACATGCTATGTATTCCCACTCCTTTGTACCACCACTTGGGTGATCTCCATTGAACATCTTCAAGGGTATGGTAGCATCTAGCTTGACTTTTTGCAGCCCTACTGCCAATCGCAACAGCGAAGCTTCTGCTGCGTTTGGGGACCCCTAGTGACCTTCACATGGCTACCAAAAGGGGGGCCATCACCCAATCTTCCCAGGTTGCCACTTCCGGCACACCGCAGGGAAGTGCGTTTACGGCGCATATCCTGGGATCCGCGAGGCAAAGGGTTTTGCGGTAGCCCCTGAACTGACAAAAGCTCGTCTCACACAACCGCAGTGGCATCAACTTATCTCGGCCTCAAGTTCTGCCACCTTCCGTCTCGCGTGCCGGCAAACCATCCAAGCCATGCCTTTCGCACCGGGTTTTGGAGCGAGCCCCACATAATGATATCCCACGCAAATATCAGCTGGCCGCCATGCCTTTGAACGAGGTTGCCACGATCCGTTTGGAAACCAAAAGCGCATTGACCACCTGGAAGGGTTCCGGAGACTTGATCCCTCGACCTAATGGCTTGGTTGCTGTTGACCCCCCTGCAAAAAGCTTAACTTTTTGGGGGGGTTAGTGGAAAACCCAACTTGACTTCAGTCTAAAGATCCAACCCAATAGCAGTCAAGATGGTGTGGAAAAATCGGGGGGTTGCCCTTAAAAGGGTCTAGTTTCGCTATGTTTCATTGTGGCTCTCCAAAACACACCGCCTTTTGATATAGCGCGTCGCTGGGTGCCCCTGCGTCATCTTTGAACTCGGTCATTCCATAGCCTGGCGAATCCGAATCCACACTTCCGGCCGGCAGGGTGGGAGTAGGTTGTACAACTTCAACTTGTGGCCAAGTTCGGGCTATACCAAAACTTGTGTGCTGCAGATCCCCTAGCAATAAGTTTAACTTTTTGCTGGTTAAAAGGAAAGATGAAGGGAATTCAAAAAGTTAAAGTCTAAAGATCCAACCCAATAGCGGTAGAGAAAAATGAGTTGAACTTTGTGACATCTACTTTCACCCAACGGAAGCTTGCGCGTTCTGCGCTGAATTGATTTACCCCCATAAATCCCCCCCCCCCCTTGCCGCGGATCCGAACCCCTTGCGGCCGTAGGGATCATGTAGCAACGATGGGTCAAGACTTGCTGTTGGCGTTCAAAATCACAAGAAGTTTACATGACTGCCCCATGTCAGGCCACCTTGTCCAACTCTGAGCTAGCTTCGAGAATTCATTCCCCAACCTGGCCGAACGAACCACTCAGACATCGCGGAACCTCCCTGCAAGTAGTAATAGCCCTCTTTGGATTCAGCATGTGCTCTCAGAGTGGCCACTCATATGCCACCAGAGTCAATTAGCGGTAAAGTACCCTCAAAGGGTGTCTTTTTTGGTTTAAATTGGAAGCACTCGGGCCTCTAGCTGTCCTTCTGGACAAATCGATGGAACCAACACGATCAGTGCCAGGCAGAAACGAGTGGAATCCACGGATGGTTTTTCATGAACTACTCTGCAGGATAGCATGGAACCCACAACAAACACCTGCGTGAAGGAATTTCGAATTGCCTCTTGAGGGACTCCCCCATTTGGGTTCTTCCACTCATGAAGCTGATTCATCCAACTTCTGTTTTCCTTTCTATGCTAAGCACCCCCCAGAGCAAAAACAAACCAGGGCATTTTGCTCTAGGTAGGGAAGGGGAACGAAAAGGGAATACAAACAACACAAGCATGCTAGAAGGGGAAGGGGAAAGGGGAAGGAAATTCATAACAATGAGGGGAAGCAATAAGGGGAAGGGGAAGCCACACAAACATGCTGGACTAGGAGAGGTTAGAGTTTCAGGGTACACTTTCTTCTGTAGTCTATTTTAGTAGGTGTTTTCCCTCCCCAAAACAGAAACGGGTGAGAAGGGGCACCAATTGCTGGGGGGCCCAGGTAGACATGGAGGGCACTTGGAAGCGAGACACAACTGGCCTTTGGCGACCTCGATCTGGAAGCAGTCCGCTTCGTTCATGTAGGCGGACCTCAGGCGCGGGCTTAGGGAAACCCAACACAGGGCCCAGGGAAAACGGGGGCAAGGGGCTTTTTTGTGAGGGCAAAATAAGGGAAACTCAAAACAGGGCCAAGGGGAACGGGGACAAGGGAAACCTGTTGAGTTGGTTCAACAAAAACCTTCGTGGGCAATCATTTGCTTTTTAAACGGCGCTCCAAACAGGGTCAACAGTCACCACAATGTGGAAGACCCTTGTTGGTGGTGGTTGATTTTTCAATTGTCCTTCCGCCCTGGGGGTCCAAGTTTGCCACAAACCAAAGGATACTTATCCGAGTCAATGCGCTACCCTCTCTGCCACGTTGCCATTGCAACTGGCTGGCAGGGAAATGGTCCCTCCAGGCAGAAGCTGATCTTATTTGCCCAGGTGCCACGGCAACACGGGAGGAAGGCGATGTGTGTCAAAGCCCTGATTTCTCGGTCGTCTTTCCAACGGTTGGGGCCCTTTGTCACCCCAGCCATTTCATGTCAAGGACTTGCATGGCTTTGGCAGTGCAGGTGGCCTTTTGGAAACATAGATAACCCAATCTAAGCCACTGCCATCGATTTCTTAACCAAACTAAGCTAAAAAAGGACGCCGATGTTTGGTAGCCAAGTCATGGTCCTGTTGGCAGCACCCGTTGGCGCCTTTGCAGCGCCAAAAGGGACATGCGAATCGAGAGAAGGTACTTCCATGAGGGACAAGGTCGCCAACAGCTTAGCTTTTCTAACTTGTTGTTATCATGTTGATTATTGTTCAGCATGATTGTTCCTATTACTTTCAATGCTCCCATTCTCCTTATGAGTTTATGTATGCATATTGTGCGCACTGAGAAACACCTTCCCGTCTTGACTTTCGCCGGTGCGTACGTGTGTCAGGCCGACTGGTTGCACCGCTGTCCACCTTTAAGATTCATCAGGCGGATGCCCCCCGAACAACACCTGAGCACTTTATTTGCCCCGAGGATGTAATTAAACCGCCCACAAAGGAAACCTATTTTTCTACTCACAAACCATGTGGGGAGGTACAAGGGCTGGAGACCATTGCCACCTGTGACCCCTGTACAACAAGTTGCACTTTGTGTGGAACACGTGTGGGGAAGAACACGTTTTCCACAAATATAACAGGGTGAAAGTAGTTGGTGGTGCACAACTCCTCCGTCATGCTCATTTAGCACTTCCCTTTGCTCGCCATGAAGAGAATTCTGCCAACTGCTTTCACGGTGACAAGGTTCAACATCCGTGGCTTTCCAACTGGTCTGGGCCATGTCGAGTTCAAGGTTCACTCACTTTCCCAGTTTGGAGCTGGAAACAAAAGGTGGCCACCTGTTGGAACCTCAACATGCGCCCCAAAATGGTGAATCCACCGGGTGGTTTGAGGCCGACTCGCCTTGGGCAAGTGAGTTCACTTCTCGCCTTCCAAAGGCGCCCCGCTGGGCTTCGGCCGACGCTTGGGCTTTCGGGCAGGCGCGTGAGGCTCTGCCGGCCGCTGCCGCCCACGCCCAGCAGCAGGACGTTGCCGTTGGGTTGGCTCAGCACCCGGCAGATCCGGGCCTTAGAGCTGGCGATAGGTCCGTAAGAGCGGGGGATTGGGGGGGACCAAGCATAACTTGGTTGACGTTAAGGGGAGCAACAGATTATTTTTTAGCAGTTAAGTGGTTGGATTTCGACCACTAAGCCACAAGAAGCAAAAATAGAAAAAATGTGTTTACCAACGACAACCATGATAAGGGACGTGTGCGGGGGGCGATGGGGATCTGGCGGGGGTCCACTCATGTTGAGACGATACATGATGTCATTTGGGCCAATTTAACATGAACTTCCTCTTGGGGTGATGCCTTTGAAGGGAAATACCGGCAATCCTGCTATTCGCTTGGAAAGTACCCACCCCTAGTGGTCTTCGCCATGAAACTATTTGTCTTATAACTTGGCTTCCGTCTAGTGGAGATAAGGATTGAAACGAGTAAAGCGCAGCTACTGGGAACGGTTGGGACATCTCTTGACCGTAAAAAGGGTATTCTAACCGCAGTCAGACTCCTCATGTCAAGGCCATTAACACGATGCTCACAATTGATCATCCTGATGCTGGCCGGATGCGCCATGAAAAAGAATAACGTCCTCCCAGCAGCGTGTGTCGGAGCTCTGTGAAAACCCAACTCACAGGGCTCCACCTAAAGCAACGAGCAATCTCAATTAAAGACGACTCCTTTTCTTCAGATCGATCTGGGTTTAGACTCGAGCTCCGCGACGTGTTCTGGGCGCTGGGCGCAATGTTCGCAAGCATCCAGGAACATGACCAAAGGCATGATGATCGAAAAGACCTGGCCCGCGCAGCAACAGCACCCTCGGAGGCACGGTTGGGCCGACTTTGCCGTAACATGTTTCAGTCTCAACCACTGTTGCTGAAACTTTTGGCTTTGCCAGTTGAAGAAAACCAGGGGTTGGTTGATTGGTACAGGATTTTGTCCATAGAGCAGTGAGAATTCCAAAACAAGCCGCTTAACTTATTAACCATTCCTTCTCATTCGCCGCCTTTAGGCCCATGATGGCCCTTGTGCTATGATTCTGGAATGTTCAAACCGGAGGACAAAGAACTCCTATTCCGAAACCCGTGGTGGGGCATGGATTTTGAACGACCCAGTAAATTCTGCACTTGTTCAAACATAGGGGGACCCCTACAATTGTGTGTTTCCTTTGGGCTTCCCTTTAACCGACTTTAACCCATTGAACAACACAGCATCGGGCCTGGTTGTAGTCGTCCAGGTACTCTTCGATGGCTGTCTTCATGGCCTCTTCGTGTGCTTCTTTGCATGAGCGGAATCAATGTCTCCGTTCTTGAATCAGGGAAGCTTACGGATCTGCAAAATCTATCAGATTCCAAAACATGAAACAAGAGATCAAAGAGATCCCAGACAAAAGGAGCTACATCATCGTTTTACCCCGAACCGGTGAGCTCTGAAACTTGACTTTGAAAGCCCAGATGCCTCTAAGTGCTTGGACCAATAAAGAAAACATACGAAACTCCCCTGGTGAACCAAACTTGACGTGGGCCTAAATTCCCCAATTGAATCTGGGCAATTGCCTGAAATAAAGGCATCCCCGCAAGTCTACAATATGATTCAGCCCTGGTTGCAGGAACTCACACCGCCAAAAACAAGGCCAACTTGCAATTGTGTCCAGCACCATGTCCGATTCACCATCCGCCTCAAAATCGCAAGATCGTGCCTGCATGTCAGTCACTTCGTCGTAGGTGCGATTGTCTACCTGACAAAAATGCGTCAGCCCCAGGCACCGGTTGAACGGACCAGACGCACATCACTAAATCCTGTTGGTAAGGTGGCCTCTCTTCTCTGTTTTTTAGCCCGAGGTGAGGTCGCTCTGATTGCGAATGGATGGCTCGCGAACCATCAGGCAGGAAAATAGTCGGACTCCCGCATCTTTGAGAGCATTCCCTGCAGAGTGCTCTGAAACCTCTGGCCATGGACCTCCAGAGGTCACATGTCATACTTGTTTCTTGAGGCATATGGTCTTCTATTCCCAGCTGAAGGGGGGAATACCATTCACTTGTCGAGTCTCGAGGACTAGAAGCATATGGGTCATGTCTGCCATCAAGCACAATGCCGGCGGGACTCCTCGAAGGATACATCTCGAAAAAACCTGCATTTCAACACGATCCTCGAAATCAGCCGGTGATCTGTTCACTGGCCGAAATATTGCACCGCCCGTTCCATTTTGCCAACGTGCCTCCTGCGTCAAGAAGGAGGCAAAGATCAGACGCTCCTCGCGCGACCAGAGGACTATGGCTGACCTCTGTGGGTTCTCTCAGCAAACTGTCAAGACAACTCAAAATGGTGTATTATGACCATAAGTAAGGACCTTTGTCATAATAATCATCGTTGGCACATTGTCTTCAATTATAAACCTGCCTGAAGCCTCACGCGAAAACGCACCTTTCGCCCACATCCCGCGTGTCAGACAAGGTTGCTGTTGACAGCGAAATGGCAGCGGGGTGACAGGGCAGAGTGACACGCGGAGCGACAGTGCGACAGGATGACATCTCCCCCCTACTGCAAATACCTACTTTTTTCTGGGTATCCTATCAACCCTGGAAAACTGGAAGCCAGGTCTTTCCAACATAAAAGGAAGCAACAAAAAGAAAACGGGTAGTTGGAGCGGGGGGGTGAGCTAGGTAACCTGCAGCTTCGCGTAATTTTGATTATTCCACACGACGTTGGGTCTTTCTTTCTCCCTGCCCTAGCGAGTGCCAAGACTGTTCAGGGCCTTGTCCAAGAGTGCCGCTCCGCCCCAAATATGAGTCATAGTCAAAAACCGGTAATAAAATGGTCTGCCCAGAACCATGTGAGGAATTAGGAAGGCGGCCACATTCTTTTTCTTGGTTGGGATTGTCCCTTACTAACCCACGTCTACCCTTGAGGACGTGGCTATGATGCCAAACTAGAGCACTGAACTGGCCGCTGGTCGGCCTTCGGCCAGATGTTTCCAACAGACCCCCGAGTCACTGGACTGGATGGTTGCGAAATCCATTTCGCACCACCTAAGAAACCCTATGATGACTCCCCTGTAAATACCAACCAACAATGGCTTCCCATTGCTTCCAAGTGGTGCGAAATGGATTTCGTCCTTCCACAGTATTGGGGTATGGATCTCTTGGAAAGGTTTCGGGTCAGATTCTGTGGATGGACCAGCTCCTGCACCACCGAAGAACCCCTGCATGCTGATGACTTGCCTGGGCTTTATGCGTTAATTTCGTGGTGCCTAAAAGGATTTCACAGCCATCCATAGGTCCAAACATTTTAAGGGGGCCGCCTGAACAGAACCGCAGTCCTTGTTGAAGATTTGGCCAAGGTCCTGCTGTAGGTCCTTGCAATCGGTGCCCATCTGTTTTTGTCTGGAGGCTCCATGCTCGCACCTCTCTGATATTGCCTGACTCAGGTTTGGTTCTTCTCGTCTCGTCAGCTTTTCAGGCCCCTTCCTGATCTCTATTTTTGTCCCTCTCTCTGTGTCTCTCTCTCTCTCTCTCTCTCTCTCCTTATCTTCTCCACTATCTCTCATTCGGATCTCTCTCTCTCTCTCTCCTCTCTTTCTCCTTTTTTTTTTCTCTCTCTCTCTCTATCTCTGAGGACATTCTGGCAGGCGCTGTCATCATCCCGGTCGACCACACAACTGAAGGCTGCCTCATGCTGTTCCGCCTCCAGAAATCACCGAACGGCCAACCTCACCCAAAACCCAAGCAGGGCGCCAAGCCGGGGGATCGCTAGCTTGATGCGGGCCAAAAGGAGTCAGAAAACAAACCTAGCCAACCCCACAGGGCATCTAGAAAAGGAGAACCTGGCTTCCACCGAATGTCACGGGCCCAGTAAAATCTCCCAAGGGCCCCGCAGTGGAGCCTAATAAGACTGGCACAAGACGCGATTGGGATAGGTTTGGCCCCTTGAAACCGACCATTCTGCGCACCAACCGATTTGACTGGAGGCCATCCGATCCATCCTGCTCCACGGCCGTATGGATCTGCGTCTTCATCCACTGCAAGTCATTCGTGTCCTCGGAGGGGCCCGGCGACATCTTGAAGTAGGGGCAACCAACAGAAACATGGGGTTGCCTTTGCCACTGAAGTGAACAGCCTCCCTTTCAAAAGGGTTTCTACACTACCAGGAGGGCTGCTTACGAGGGACCCCTATGTAGGGGGGAGGGGGGACCCCCACATATACATTTAAGCTGCGACCACAATCCTACCGCACCCCCCCCAATATACATAAAAACCCGCTTGTGCCCCAAACATCAGCAAGAGACCAAAGCCAAGCAGGCCCATGGCAGACCCTGAAAAACTCCAGCTGCGCAAAAAGAAACGGCGCCCACACACAACAAGCAAATTAGGAGCCCTCCTGAAAGACGTCCCACTTCACGCAAGTGATCAGCCCGACAAGTAGGCCCTGAAAGAAACAAGCTTCGCAAAAAAAACGGGGGCCACACACACAAAGACAAATTACAAGCCCTTCAAACAAGATCTCACTTCACGAAAAGCAGCAGGCCGACCCAGTCGGCCAGCGCTAGGGCCTGAAAAAAAACACAGCTAGCGCAACAAAACGGCAGCCACACACAACAAGCAAATTAGACGCCCTACGCAAAAAATCAAAAAACAAAAAACAATCAACAAACAATCAAGTGGGTTAGTGACAAGCCCTAAACAAAAACAAACTGCAAAAACACAAAGCGCAGCGACACACAACAAACAAATTAGAGGCTCTACTTGCCAACAAACAGTTGACAAAAAACAGCTGCCCGAACAAGCAGACCAGTGACAGGACCTGAAAACAAGCCGCGCACAAAAAATCCAGAAGCCCCACTAAAAACATCCCACTTGACGAAGAGCAGCAGCCCCGACCAAGCAAACAACTAGCAGGCCCTGAAAAACAACTTCGCAAAAAAGGCAGCCACACACAACAAGCAAATTGGAAGCCCTACTAAAAGCATCACATTTACGAAAAGCATCAGCCCGGGCCAGTGACAGGCCCTAAACAAAAGCTAGCTGCAAAAACACGGCGGCAGCTACAAACAACAAGCAAAATAGAACCATTGAAGGGGGCGACCGCCGAGGGGGTCATGGCCCGACCGGCGACGGGGTCGGGGCCCGACCGGCGACGCGGTCGGGGCCCGACCGCCGGCGGGGTCGGGGCCCGACCGCCGACGGGGTCGGGGCCCGACCGCCGACGGAGTTGGGGCCCGACCACCGGCCCTGAACAACATCAATCTGCACAAAAGAAAGGCAGCCACACACAAGCGAATTAGAAGCTCTACCTTGACGAAAAGCAGCAGCCCGACCAAGCAGCCCAGTAACAGCCCTGTAAAAAATCAAGCCGCGCAAAAAAGGGCGGCAGCCACACAACAACAAACCAGAAGCCCGGCGAAGACATCCCACTTGCAAAAAAAACAAGCGACCAGAAGAGTACGGGAGCAGGAGACCAAGGAACATGATTGAAACGCGTCGTGTTTTTTGATGTCCTTTGTAGCCACCTGTGCAGGTTACATTTCAGCGCCCGCTCGCAAAGGAAACTGTGCGTGCTGTCGGGCCCCGACCCCGCCAGCAGTCGGGCCCCGACCACGCCAGCAGTCGGGTCCCGACCCCGCCAGCCGACCTTTTCCTGAAGCAGGATGTTTTGAGTAGCACTTCTAATTTGCATGTTGTCTGTGTTACCGCCTTTCTTTGTCCAGCTGTGTCACTGGCCTACTTGTTGGGCTGATGATTTTCGTGAAGTTGGTTTTTTCTCCAACAGCTGAAAGCTTTGGGGTCTCAGCCCAGATAGTCCCGGACGGCCCTGAGGTGAGGTTCCACGAGCGTTCCACCAGGGTTCCACCAGGGTCCAATGAGGGGATGTCACCGTTTGTCTTGGGCAGCTGGATTGTTTTCAGGGCCTGCCTACTTGTCTGGCTGATGATTCTCGTGAAGTGGGAGTTTTTAGCAGAGCTTCTAATTAGTTTTTTGTGTGGGGTTGCCGCCTTTTTTTTGCGTAGCTGGATTTTTGTCAGGGCCTGACACTGGCCTACTTGTCGGACTGATGATTTTCGTGAAGTTGGTTGTTATGTAGAGATTCTATTTTGTTCGCCGCGTATTTTGTGCAGCTGGATTTTTTTCAAGGCCTGGCACTGGCCTACTGGTCTGGCTGATGATTCTCGTGAAGTGGGCTTTTTAACTAGGGCTTCTAATTTGGTTGTTGTGTGTGGGTGTCAATTTGTTGTACAGTTTTTCCTGGGCCTGTCACTGGCTTGCTTGGTCGAGCTGCATTTTTTTGTGATTCGGGCGTTCTGCAATAGAGTTTCTAATTTGTGTTTTGTCAGTGGCTGCCTTTTTTCGCGGCTAAAGCCATTGTTGCGTCAGGGGCCACTTGTTCTTACGCCCGGCGGGCTTAAGAACAAGTAGGCGCTTTAGCGAACAAGTGACCAGGTCACTTGTTCCGGTTGGCCCCCACTTGTTCTTATGCCCGCCGGGCGTAAGAACAAGTGACCCCTGAAAACGCTTGGGGCTGGGAACTAGCCAAGGCTTTTCCTCCAGGACTCGTGGGAGCGGGGCAGTGGCAGCGTCTGATACCTACACCAAGCAGCGTATTCGCTTTGTCGAATTACTTAATTCGTCGCACGGACGCCCGTCATCTCGATCTACAGACGGCATCACTGGCATCACTGGCATCGCCAGCATCACCAGCAATGACGTCTAGCTGATTCTCGCTCTGACGAATTAGCCAATTCGTCGCACGGACACCTGTCGCCTTCATCTACGGAGTGCGTCACCGGCATCGCCAGCATTACCAGCAATGACGTCTAGCTGATTTTCGCTCTGACGAATTAGCTAATTCGTCGCGCGGACACTCGTCGCCTCGATCTACGGAGTGCATCACCGGCATCGCCAGCATCACCAGCATTATCAGCAATAAAGTCTAGCTGAGATTCGCTCTGGCGAAGTAAAGCTAATTCGCATTACCAGCAATGAAGTCTAGCTGATTTTCGCTCTGACGAATTAGCAAATTCGTCGCACGGACACCCGTCGCCTTGATCTACGGAGTGCATCACCGGCATCGCCAGCATTACCAGCATGAAGTCTAGATGAAATTCGCTCTGTCGAATTAGCTAATTCGCATTCGCAGCAATGAAGTCTAGCTGATTTTTGCTCTGACGAATTAGCAAATTTGTCGCGCGGACTCGATCCACACACTGGCATCAACACCATCGCGAATCCCTGGAGCACAATGAGTGCGTACGCTAAAGAGCGCTGCTTGCTATCTGTTTGCTCTGCTCAAATATTTAGAGGCACCCCTGCCCCGGTGTTCTCACACCTCTGTGATCCCGACAGCAACGAATCCGACACTCGTCGCCCTTCCATTTCAGCTAGTTCCTCGCGAAGCCGGCGGCCTTCTTTGCAACGAATGTATCTAAATCGCAGCCCGGCCCCACTTCCAATGATGTGGGAAACGCTGGGACTGCTGGGCGGCACAGTCCCTTAATCAATCAGCTAGCTCTCTCCCACACAGGCTCTCACATCAGCACTCCCCTGCTGGAATTTTCGAAAGCCTGCGGTTATCGGTCTGACGTAGTGGATAGCAACGCATTGCTCCGATTGCTCTGTGTAAACCAGCTTGTTTGCCAGGATTTTGCATGCTTAGTGAGGCCTCCATGTATCTCAGAACCCACGATCGCCACGGGGTGGTGTGGATCGACTTGAACCTTGGCCGGAGCAGGAAGTGATCACAGGGGCCCAGCTGAGTTCTGTTGCGCCTCGCTTACGGCGCAAAGCTCGTGCCCTTCAGCACGGCGCTGCGACGATGCGCTTGCTTGAGCTAGGAAACTAAACACTACTACTCTTTGGAACGAATGCTTCCTAGGGCTCATATCCGGCAGTGCGTTGATTCAGCGTCACTTGAGCAGTGAAAACACGTACTTTGTCTTCAGGGCGGCCCTACTCAAAGCAAAATGCAGCAAGCCCTATACGAGCGGCGGTCGTAAACCACTTAGCAGCAAGTAGATAGGGTCCGCGTCTGTACTGCTGACTTCTTGGCACTTACTTCTCAAAGAAGAGACCGAGGTGAGCGACACGATGCCCCAGAAGACGGTGGCGTCAGCAAGACTGACAAGCTTCCAAACAAGGCGCGCGGTGCTTCCCCCGAAGCAATCCCAGTGTTGACTTCGAAGCGAGCTGGAAGTTTGACCCCCATCACACTTTCAAATATTGGGCCCTCTCGGAGGCGAGTGCTTTTACACGTGCGCGATGCAGGAGCTAGAGCTGTTGAACGCCGGTGTGGGGGGGGCCTAATTGGAGAGACAATTGTAGTGGGTGTTGAAGTAGGCCAGGGCCAGCCACTTGAAGCAACCTTGACAAAGTTGGCGGATATGTCCCTGGGCTTTGTCCACGTGGTCCGCGCAAAGATCAGCGCCTGTTGAGCAGCAGAAGAGTCTCACAATCAAGGAATCGGACACCAGCGCCTCCATCAAGCCCTGGCAGCACAAGATGGAGCAAGTGACAGCCCTTGGCGAGCTTGCTCAGCTACATGCCCACTTCAACACTTCGTACGAGTTCTAGGACATGTTTTTGGCAAAGCCCGTTCTCGGGCTGCTGCCGGAATGCGTGCTGCGGATTGCTGGCACATGGGCCTCTAGAATCGCGCAACACCTAATTTGAAAGCATTCCAACACTGAGCCGTAAACTCGCGGACCTTTCCAGGTCCATTTGCAGCCATTTGCTTCTGTCTACCTACAATTGTGCCTACCTTCCATACGGCTGTGACTGTATATTGCTTTCTTAGGTTCTCAGCCTTGGCAAAGCGCTTCAGACTCTTGGGGCGGCAAACGTGGAAAATGTATTACATACATTCCCCCCCCCCACTGGGCATACATTATGAAAGGGGTCCCCCGTGCTTATTTGTCCCACAAGCAATGGAAAAGGCCAACCAGGGTCAAAATGCGGCCGCTGGAATTCTGGCTCACACGTGCCGCTGTCGTGTGCCAGTGGCAACCCCCTGATCCTCGCAAGGGGATCGCACGTGCTATCACTCACATGCTCGTCTAAGCTCCCAAGACATACCCTGTGATTCCATTTACCTGTATAGCAGGTAACCAAGGGAACCAGCCTTTGGAAATCAAAGGAACATGGTTGGTTACCGACTAGATCTCTCTTGCCCATGTGGCATTTCATCTCCACGAGGGCTCTCTTGGTTTCACAAGTGGCCACCTAAAACGGCGTACTTCAAAATCCTTCAAATACAAATCTAAAAATCATGTCAACTCCCGGGTGCAGGAGCTTCCTCGGCCGGGAGTCTGAGGGTATGTTCACCCCAACTTGACCCTCCATGAGCGGATACGTCCCCTGGGGAAAAGAAGAAAAAGCAAATCTGTGTCCAGTGGCTCCCTTTGAAACCTAACAGGGAGGTATAAAACAAACATCTTGAGCACATGAAAAGCTGCCACTTCCCTTTGAGAGAACTGCACCGCTCGTGTATTTCATCGATCGATTCGGAGGAGCCATTCGAGGCATCGGCCGTCAAGCGATCCCCGAAGACTCGCTGGATCTCATGGGACCAGCACCGCGTCACCTCAGGCGATCGAGGCCAGGTCTGGAGCTACAAAACCGGGCGGGGAGTCGACCCCTCACAAGGAAATGAGCCGATATGAGCCGATGCCCTTCAAGGACTCGCCAGAACCCTACTCCAAATTACCCACGTCGTGTTTCTTAGGGCATTCTTGGGAAGAAAAAGAACGGGGTTTCGAGGGAAAAGACCTCCTTTGTTAGTAGAGGGTCGACATCATACCCTAACAAAAAGAGGGTATTGGGTGTAAGGCCGAGATATCTTGAAGTGGACCGATGGAATGGGGGGGTGGGGGGGGGGGGGCAAAGGCAAACCTGCTTGAGCATAAGGAAATGAAGCCAAACACAGGGGTCACCTGGGACCCCCGTGATTCACTGTCACACTGGCGAAGCTCACCTCGAATGCCAACCCGAAGCATTGCCTCTTATCTCTCTGAGGGAAGATCGCACTTGCTTCGCCGTAGGAGGCTATGCTCCGCAAACTCCCTCCCTCCCTCCCTCCCTCCCTCCCTCCCTCCCTCCCTTCCTCCCCCTCCCTTCCTGTTTCTTTCTGTCTCGCTCTCTCTCGCTCTCTCTCTCTCTCGCTCTCTCTCTCTCTCTCTCTCTCTCTCTCTCTCCCCGTCGCAATGGGGAGAGAATTGCTTTCCGCACGCAGCGCAAGGTATTCTCTGGCTAGATGGGTGCCTTTTGATTCGTTGGGTTGTAACCCGGGCCAAACACCGCCCGGCAACGGGTTCGCCCCGCTTCCCGCTTCCGGAAACCGCCCTGGGGAGCAAGCTGTGAGCACGTTGTTGGACTTCTTCGAGCTCAGGCTGCACATGCCCAGGAAGACCTCGACAAGCTGAAAAACGCTTGCAGCGTTTTTTGGTGGTTGGCTCGCTGTTGGGGGGGGTTCAACTTCTTTGGGCTCACGTTACTCACCATGTTGAGTAAGGAACCCACCCAAAAGGGAGAAAGGAGTGCCACTGAACAGCTGAACCGACTGGTGGGTTGCATTAAGGCTGGGCTGAGAATGGCAAGAGGGAGGGGCAGGGAGAGATGAGCTGCGGAAAGAAACTGACCTGAGGGGCGATGAGGTTTTATAGAAAAGCGCAGGAGAGGTCGAAAGCCCGGATGGGAATGTTGCTGTACGTGAAAAACAAAAAAGGGACGCCCTAAGGAAGAAACTCCGGCTGGTGCTTGCCTGGTCTCGAGCGTCTCCCCCTCCCACCGGTGAACTCTGTGACGCAAATGCGAAAACGATAGAAAAAAAGGACCACGCCGGTCTCCTTTTTCGCCGATACTCTTGAGGGTTCTGCAAAGGGAAGCACAAGGGAACGCCCTTCTTGTTTGATGGGGGGGGGGATAAATTATACCCTGTTTGGCACAAAGCCCTTCAGCCAAGCCAGGCTCGAATGAGCTGCCTGGCGCCGAACCCACAACCACAGCACAGTCAGGGCCCCAAACACGTGAGTTGCAACTTGCTGCCTCCTGAAGCCCTTCCAGTCTGCCCTTTGCCCTGCCTTTCGGTTGGCAAGGACTCTCAGAAAGCCACCGAGTCGAGTCCGAACCCCGGGAATTGGACTCCGAGCCCCATGCAACTCCCGATCCCCATCCGAGCCAGGCGAGGCCTTCCAAATGTCCCGCAGGTTGAAGAGGTAGTGAGACTTGGAGGGTGTGGGCAGCAGGTCGTTCAGCGCCTGCACATACCCTCTGGCCAAAAATGCCGGGATGTGCGTGTCTTTTACCTAAAGTTTGATTTTGATCTAAAGCTAATACATTCTATATAGTCCTTTTAGTTTAATAACAATTTGATATGTGAACCCCCCAAACTGCTGGTATACAACAGTATTTTTAGCTTAATAACAACTTGATATGTGAAGCCCCAAACTGCTGGTACGAGTATCTTCCTTTTGAGATCTTCCTTTGAACCCGCGCATGCGCCAGCTTCCGCGTCTCCGGTTTCGCCGGGGGTGGTTTCGAACTGGCCGCCACTTGAAACTACCAACGGGTGAGCTGACGCCGGCCAGGTGCCGAAACCCAGCGCCGCAAGCTGTCAGCTCCGTACCGCTGATGCCCTGATCCATTTATTTCTCCAAGCAAAGAGCCTGCCAGGAGCCTGGAGACAGAAAGGACCACGTGTTCCAACGGATAGTCATGCTCAGCATGTCCCCCAACACCCCCGGTAGTCTGACCCCTCTCCACCGGGAAGGAGAGGCTTAGGCGTGAAAGCAACCTGGTTTCGAACCACGGGTGACGATACATACTGCAAGGCAACTATCATTCTAGGGGTTGATTCCCCATTCTTTTCAACCATCGTTCTTCTCAAAAACCAGCTGCTTCCCCAGGGTGGTTGGTATTTTTAAGAAAGAAGGATCACTGGAAAGAATGGGGAAGGTACCCCTAGAATGTTTGGTTGTGACGTCATCTTGTACCCCAAAAACACTCACCGAGTCACCTCGGCATTCACAAAGACTAGGTAATGTTTGACTCTTCCCAGCAAAGCAAGTTGTCCAAGCCCGTGATCCTAAACAGCACCGTCAAGTCTTCGATTCCACCGCCCTTTTGCTCACGCATCGTCATAAAGACGAGCCCAGCTCGCGCATTTTGCGCTGGGGCCACAGCTTTCGCGCAGCAAAAGCGTGCTGCTTTGCAGCTGCCTCAACATACATAACCTGCCGAAGATGTGGAGAGTTGACTCCAAAAGTGCAGCACAGCATGCGCGCCGCAAAGGAACATATGACATTGTGCAGTCACGACAAACAAACAAACCAACACTTGACTTTGTCCGGAAGTTCAGTGGAACATCGAAAAAAATACGCTTAGGGTAGTCTCCTTTCGCCTTTTCTGGTGACTGTTCCCAGATCTCTGCAACAAGTCTAACTTTTTAGCGGAAGCTACCACTAAAACCTGAAAACTTGGGATGGCTGGGAGCCACCACGGTTCCAAAACCATGTTGCAGGGCAATGCGTGCAACACATCAACTCTTGGCTGACGTTGGAAGGGGGGGCAAACAAAAAATGAGTTTTAGCAGTTAAGTGGGGATTTCAACCACTAAACCACAACAAGCAAAAAAATGGGAAAAATGTTTCCCAACAACAACCACGTCAACTCTCCGTCGCCACAGGGCCCATCTTTGTGAGCACATGCACGGCCAGTCGGTTTGAAGGAATTCTTCAAGCATCGGCAGACCCGAAAACGCGGCTCCCAGCGGGGTTCGCTCAAGGGAAGACTCAATTCTTACGGGGCAGATGTTCAGAACACCTGGCTGCTTGCAACCTAACCCTGACTCGCACAATCTATGGTACCAACTGCTCCTGCTTTTCCCTTGTCGATCAACTGTGGGGATCAAAGTCTCCAGGCCAAAAAAAAGAGAAAAGCTGCTGCCTTTCTGACATTTGAGATAAAGAAACGCGCACAAGCAACTGAGCAGCACAGGGCAACCCAAGACTCTTGTTCGAGCATGTCAGTTTTGTCCTCTGACCAGCGAGCGGTGTGCAACAGTGCCGTACCAAGGAGTCTGTTTTACAGCTGTCTCCATCTAATCAGACTGTGACCTATTTATTGCCCACCTTCTCGGAAAAGCGGGTCGGAAACAACCTCATCTAAAAATATCCATTGGACGTTGCTTCACTCAATTGCCGTGGCATCTATGTCTGATAATGTTTGAAATTTAGCTGGGCCCAAAGTTCGACCCGCTGTGAGGGTCATAACTTGTTGGAGGTGTCAAAAGTGAGTCAGGTGAGTCAAGCCTGGCAGAGTAACAATTCGTTGAGGCATCTTCGAAATTGAACCATGTAAAGAATTCAGAAGGCGGCCGCAGCTATTTATGGTTGGGATTGTCCCTCGCCAACCTTCATCTACCCGGGTTTTGATTGTGGCTCACATCGCATCTCATGAACACTGAAAAAAGCGTCCGCTTGTTTCAAAGGCTTTCCGCTCGCTTCGGAAGCCTTTCCGACGCATTTTCCGGCGGCTCAGCCACTCAGGGCGGCACCTCGGGGGCACTGGACTTGCTAGCAGTCGTACTGAGAGGGGCGGACCTGTCGCAAGGGAAAAAAGGAACACAACGATGAGAACGAAGAAGACAGACAAAGAAGCTAAGGAAGGAACACACAAAGAACGAAGGAAAGAAAGAAAGAAAGAAAGAAAGAAAGACAGAAAGACAGAAAAAAGAGGGAAAGAAGGAAAGAACGAAGAACAGAAGGGAAAAAGGGAAAGAAGAAAGAACAAACAGCCCGCCAAAGCCAAGGAGAGTGCCCGTTGCACATGGGCGTGTCCTGTTTTTGGGGACGCCCTAAACTGGTGGGTTCTGCTTTTGGCGTCAAAGCACGGCTACGCTCAAAAAAGGCAGACCCAAATAGGCGTCACGTTGGAAAGGAAGGCGAAATTTACACGGCTCAATGAGTTCGGGAAGCCATTCCCAACCAACTCACGTGAGCTGCTGGCAGCCACATGCTGACAACCTCTCTGGATGAATCCAACTCTTTCATGCCATGTGGAAAGGCGACTAATGTTGACCCCATAAGAATCAACCCCAGATTCTGTCTTTAGTGGGTGTTCCCCCTCTAAAAGTGATTCCCAAACGCCCCCCCCCCATGCCATTAACAGGGGTTGATTGATATGGGGCCAACCTGGGGGTGCGAACCTTTCTATGATCCAAGTCCTCCAGCCCGGCCGGAGAAAAAGCCATGAATTCAGGGCCTGTCGAGAGAGCCGGGAGGCAAAGGAGCCTCCACGGCGTTTTCCCTAAGGCCTCGGCTCTCCTTGCTTTTCTTCATGATGATCTGGTGGTCAGACCTTGCCATAGCAATCAGATTCCGTGGGTTTAAGGGTTGACATACTTGGTAAATGGGTTCACCTGCCCCGATGGCTTTCAGTTAGGTGGTGCTGCCAAGGCAGCATTGCCCAAGCATGTAAGCTTTCCCAGACATGGACTTGCGACCACCTCCAAAAAACTGTTTGTCTGTGTTACGTCCCTTTGATGCATGCTGAAGATTGGGCGTGCACAATCCAACTTTATTGAGTGACCTTGTCCTCGCCGGAGGCCTCTCACAGCCAATTATCACCAAAGCAAAGAGACCGACAAGCACAAACTGTTCATTCAAATGAAAGCGCTTAGTCCTGAATGACGCCGACTGACTCCTAAGTTATCTCCTGAACCGTGAAATTCCGAGCTGATCGGCGTTGCTGTTGTTGTTGTTGTTGTTGCTGCTGCTGCTGCTGCTGTTGCTGCTGCTGCTGCTGTTGCTGTTGCTGGTGCGGTTGCTGTTGGTGTTGCTCTTGCTGTTGCTGTTGTTGTTGTTGTTGATGTTGTTGTTGTTGTTCCTCCCGAAGCGAGATAACGCCGCGCTCTGCATCGTCACAAAAAACTGCAAATCGCAGTGTTTTTCAGCTTCACGCGCAACAACACCGGTATTTGCGGCGTTCTGGCGCTTCCCGTTTCTCCCGTGCAGCACGCGCTGAAAACATCGCCAATACCAGCATTTTCTCATCTCGGGCGCGGAAAACATCGCAAATACCAGTGTTTTGTTGCGTCACTTACGCAACATACTGTTAGTTACACATCAGCACGGCGCACATGCCTGGCACATGATAAGCACGCTCACGTGAACTGTGTCAGATCTGACATCCGCTCAGCACGGTATCCACGCCTACCACCTAATAAGAACACCCGCTCACGTGCACCCGCTCAGCACTGTATCCACGCCTACCACCTAATAAGAACACCCGCTCACGTGCACCCGCTCAGCA